GGCCGTCCCCCCTCCCCCCCCCCCGAGCCTGAAGCCGGCATTCCTCGTCTTTACAGCCCGTTCTGTCCTGTAACTAGCTGCATGATGAGCGGGTATTCACGAAGGCTGTCTCCTTCGTTGAAATGCCACATGACCTGTACCAGGAACGTTTGGGGGCGGAGGTTGACGTGAAGTTATTCATGAATAGGCATTGGCATGAAGATAAAGCCCCAATAATTCAAACCCCGAGGAACACGCAGTAGTGTAGTTGGTCCAGACACTATGCTAGAAGTCGGAAGGTCGCGGGTTCGAGTCCCGATGAGGTGGATCTTTTTCAATTTACCTAATCCTTTCAGCCGCACTATGGCCCTGGGGTCGACTTAGCCTCTAACAGAAATGAGTACCAGGAATCTTCCTGGTGGGGGTAAAGGGCGGCCGGCCAGTGCGTAAGGCTGTCAATCTTACCGCCATCTGTGAGCCGACTATCTACAAAATGTGGGAACCTCAATGTCTCACAACCCTATGGGCCTTCATGGCCTGTTACAGGGATAGATATACCGTTTTACCCTTTTAATTCAAAACCCGAACTCCATGGGGTAGAGTCTTATGAAGCTATCAATAGCTCAGGTGGTCAAGCAATTGCCCTTATTCATTATCACTTTTACATTAGTCTTTATCCTGAGCCAGATGAATGCAGTCGTCATCACAGCCTACGTATTTATTTAATGTAAATTTATCCTGGGGATGAATTAATTAAGCATCACTCCATTAAGAGGGGAGGGGGAGTACGGGTATAGATCCACCATTTTAGACCTCGGTACTAGATGGAGGTGAGTGGTCAGCTTCATGCCTCTGCCGCTTTAACCCCGGGGAAGTAGCCGTTGGTATCTGTTGAATAGGAGGCTGGGCGGGCACCAGAGCTGATCTGGACGCTGTGAACAGAAGAAAAGCCGGAAATCGAACCCCGACCGTCCAGCCAATAGCTATACCGACTGAGCTATCCTGGCGCCCTATTTCATACATGTTATCAAGAGAGTACTAGTTGCGCTGTGTAATTAGAGAGGGAAGGTATTCTTGTATGATGCCACATTAAAATTATTTTTGATTTTACGTGATTGCAACACATTTTCAGATAACATTTTCTCACGACAAAACTAGGTCGACAGGGGTCACACATTTTCCAAGCATGAGTACAGGACTCGAAGCACAGTGAAAGGAATGACTGCATGGCACGAGCTTTCAGTCTCCTTGTATGGGTTGCATCTTGCAAAAGCCTCTTCTGGGCTTGAGGACCTGAAGGTCACCGCCGATGTGTATGCAGCAGGTTTGCAGATTGATCGTAAAAGAACGCAGAGTACAGCTTGTTTCTTAAAAGACATTCGATTAACTGCAGTGTTTGAATCTCTCTAGTTGAAAGCTAGACTATATTTCGAAAAATCTTCCCCTTCGCTTTGCAAGTCTGAAGTCATTTGGAGCTTGTCTGAAAAACTTCAGGAGTACGTGGACCATTAGCCTCAGATTTTGAATATATTTATGGGTTTATCGAATGATGCGTTGTCGATTGATTGATTTATAATATATCGAATGATGGGAAGAGCGTGGAAAAATCAGTGGTAACCTATTTTATTTCACTATCCCAATATTTGCTTCGGGGGACTGAGGGAAACTAAGGAATAACAGGATTTCAGTCAATAGGCCCTATTGCGACTCTCCAAATCCACATTCGAACCTGGGGACTACCGAATACAATGAAAGAATGCCATTCACTATACCACGATGTTTGCATTTTGAAAAACAAACTAATCTTACCCACTGGAAAGTCCCGAGTTCGATACCGGCCCAGAGAAAGGTATGAACATAACTGAGTTCTGGGATGTGACGCCGTTTATTTCGATAGAATAGAAACACGACCCTTCGAAACGACGGCAAACTACTACCACACTACACGGCGTCATAACCGAGAACACAGTTATATCCACAAGGAGTATCCTGACGAAGCATTGTTGTAATTCCTCTGAAATGTTAGGAGAGTAGGCTAGAATCACTTCCCTCTAATTTTATTAGCCATATTCTTATTTTCCCCTGTTATTTTATTTCGTTATTTAACGACTATATATATATCGTTGGATGATAGGATGATCAATGGAGCAGTTTGTGGAATGAGTAGAGGCAGGGGAAACCCCGCCCCAGTGCCACTCTGTCCACCACACATCCCAAAAGACGTCACCTGCAATCGATCCCAGGCAACGTGTGACTAACCGTCTGATATATTCATTTTCATCTTGTCATTCTATTGGATGTACTAATGCGGTGTTAACCATTTAAAGACTGGATTGTTTCTACATAATATATAAACATTCAGTTCGTACCGCACAGGAAACACATCGCGTCTCCACTACAAAGACCTCAGTGCTGTTTAAGGAAATTATCGCTGTTTATTGTGGGAAACACACAAATACACTCTGTGGGCAGAATGCAGAAATTTGGTATATTAAACCAGTTGTTACGTATAGTAACCACTGAGCTTTAAAATATTAATACGTTGAAGCCTGAAAAAGAGACGGGGAAAGAGAAGAGATAAAGTTTGGGAAAGTGCGGGGGGGGGGGGGTAATGAAAGAGACTACATTTGAGGCGGGGGCAAGGAAAACAATCTTTGCCCCCTCTCATTTAGAAGGTTCCCAGGCAATGCCCGCTCGTCTTTCCGGTAAAGGTACATTTGAGAGAAGACAAAGCTTTATCAGGGTGTTGACTTGAATATGAGCTGTGGAGAGACTGAAGCTTGGATTTCATATAAATAATATAAAAAATTCACTTCCTACCCGACAGAGAACACAATGCCTTATCGATTTCTAAGACCAAGCGGTTAATGCTGTTTAGGCAAATAAATGTTTAGTCTTGGAATCATACGAAACACATAAATATGCCTAACGATAACACGCGGAGTTTCTTAACAGATCGTAATCACTGTTGTCTAAAATGAATAAATAAACCGATAAAAAGAATGCCCACCACAGTGTGTCCAGTGAAGCAGCGGTCACTGACCTGCAACAGCTGTTCTTGTCCTGGGAATAAGAAAATCATCCGGCAGGTTACAGGAAGCGATTTACTTCTGAATTATGAGCCTAGTGCGCACCCACCAGCGCGCAGTGGCATTCTTCCTGCAACAACATACCTCGCTGTGATATATGCAACAAGCAAGAAAGTGCTGTTATGAATGGAGCTACTGCACGAAACCCGTGGCAAATTAAAGAATTGCATAATATTACCTCAATATTTATGAGATGTGCATATGCGCAATACACGTATCGTAGAGGATGTGTTGTTATTAATGTTATCGGTATCATGTTATTTCATCTTTTTGTCAAATATACAGTGTAATTCTAAATTATTGTCGGGGTTTTCGTTTATAGACCACGGAAACCCCGAATAATTTATAATCACTTTGTATATAGAAACATGTACAGTGTGTGTCTTGTCTGTACAAGGGTGGATTACTGCTTTTTCAGCTAAAAATTTATAAAAACGTACTTATTCGAAGTACTTGTATTATAGGTACGATTTGTATGGAAGCGACGAAAAATTTATAAAATGTTATGCTTTTTTAACGTAGTCGATGTTACATTACATGTCGGGCTCGTGACAAGCTGTAACTGGGTTACATGCCTCGTCACCCAGAGATGTAGCCTATAACATGCAATATCCCGTTTCGCATTAATTCACTTCTACTGTAGCGATGTAAAATAATTAGATTAAATTTATAATTGTATGTGCCGATTGGGGGCACGCGCTACCGTAGTTGGCTGAGGCGCCATGTTACAAGCCTGAAGGTCCCGGGTTCGATTTACTATGAGGCCATTGGATTTTTCAATTTACCTAATCCTTCCAGCCGCACTATTACTCAGCCTCTAACAAAAATGAGTACCAGGAATCCTCCTGGGGGGAAAAAGGCGGCCGGCGTGTAAGGCCGATTGCCTAGAAAATGTGGGAGCCTCGACATCTCACAAACCTATGGGCCTCCAAGACCTGTTACAGGGATAGCTTTACCTTTTTCCTTACGCGCCGATTTCTTTTTGTCGTACCGCAAGTCAGTTTCGGTTATTGGTAGTTCGGAGTACGCCGGTCCGCCATATTTGCTGAGCACGCTTAACACGAGAACAATCTAATCGTGAAAATACGCCCCATATTATGAGGAGTACAGGGTGGGGTTCGGTGAATAGTGTGGGGTGTGTCCGCAAGTTCCCTGGAGTAACTCTGACGGTAATTGAATGGCTGGAAAGCCAGTCTTGTGATCACAAGATAATGTCAGTGACTAGTGTCCTCCAGAATTTCAGGATGGAGACCAGCGTTTCCATCTCACTGTCGAATGTAGGTCAGTAATATTGATCTAGAACCATTTTCCAAGTCTGGGTTCGCTTCACTACTGTATGTTGCTACACCCCAAAGTCAGGGCCGGATTAAAGAGGGAGCAAGTGGGGCGTCCACGAAACAGAATCCTCAGATTTTATTGAAACATTTGCTTCTTTAAAATCACGGGAAGTTAAAATGTATTTTTAAGAGATGAAAGGTAAAGCTGTAAGAGGCCCATAGGGTTGTGAGACGTCGAGGCTCACATTTTCTCTAGACAATCGGTTCACAGATGACTGTGAGGTCAGCCTTAGCACCGGCCGCCATTTTGTCCCTCAGGAAGATTCCTGGTACTCATTTCTGTTAGAGGCTGAGTCGACTCCAGGGCCATAGTGCGGCTGGAAGGATTAGATGAATTGCAAAATCCAATTGCCGCATGGGGAATCGAACCCGCCACCTTCCGCCTTGTAGTATAGTGCCTCAGTCATTATAATAATGACAAAATAATTCTCAAAGCCTTCATTTGTTGCTAGTGATATGGGCCACCAGAACTCAGTTCCAGCCTTCTTCACCCAACTCACACAGCAGCATCGTCACATTTCATCTCCTTGACTAGATTCATATTCGATAGATGCTCGGTTTTACTGTCAACCGGAACAACGGTTTTCCTCACTGATAATTTTCATGGTCTTCTTCAGTCCCTCCAGACATATTGCGGGATAGTATTTCGATTACGGAATGACCCCCTTCATTTCAAATTTTTTCTAATGCATCATCTGTTAATAATTCTACCATTCGACGCTACAGAGTCTACACACCAAAAGCGTCGTAAAGAAATCCATATAAACTAGATCAACAACAACTTTCAATCTCCTACATAAAGGAGCGCGGCGGAAGTGAAGATAAGCTCCATGCATTCAGATCATTATGAGATGTCACTTGGCGCGCAGAACGCATTTACCTCTGAGCGCCGGTAATTGATTCTGGGTTCTGGAGAGGAGTAGAGATCCTAGAGTCCCAGCGCTGTTCGTCGGGCTGCCGCGGCCTAATGCTCTTCATAATGTACAATACAAGCAGAAACGCTGTTTTAAACAACAAAAGGACGATGGATAAGTGGAGCCGGAATAGCGCAGTCGGTATAGCGACTAGCTACGGGCTGGGGTCGAGGGGTCGGAGTTCGAGTCCCGGTAGGGTCAAGAGTTTTCTCCACGTCGTCCAGACCGGCTCTGGGGTCCACCCAACCACGTATCCAGTGGGTACTAGGGGCTCTTTCCCGGGAGTAAAGCGGCCGGGGCGTGAAACTGACCACTCACCTCCAGCTAGTGCCGAGTTCAGGAAAATGTGGATTATACATCCACTCCCCCATACTCTTTCATGGCGTAGCGCTTAATTAGCTAAGCACAGGGACAACTTTACCTTTATAATGGATGTCAAAAAAGACAATAATTGCACTAGTATTATAGGTATAATAATAATAACAACATATTTCTACAAGTAGTTATAAGTAAAATTGATAAATTCCTTTCATTTGTGAAGCATATTTTGGGCTCACCTACCTAAAATACGCTGTTATTGACTTATGGATTATTTAACAAACCTACGACAAATGACATATAATATTAATAATTAGCTCTTCAAAGCACAGTTGTTGCTATATATATCATATTCGTTAACATTAAAATTTCTTAACTTTACCCACCGAGTGCGGTCATGGTTTAATATGATTTTTGGAGCACACCTGGATTTATATCCATAAACAAAATTAATCACTGGTCTTTATAATCGAGATGTTATATGTTTCCTGTGAGGTAGGAATTGAATTTCTGAACACAGCAAAGTCGAATTTCATACATATAAGGGTTCGTAGACTATTTGGTAGAGATTTGTGAGGAGGGATCCAATTCTTACAGTCTTCAGCCATTTCTTCAAAGATCGTGAAACTCTTGTTACGCCTTATGTTACGACGCAGATGGAATGACCTCATGTATAAGGATCTGTAAGGTAATATATCTTGCTGAAGAAGAACTACGCCTAAACAGGTCTCTAGAGGCTGCGTTTCGCAACAGTTTGCATATGGTTACAGCAAAGTTCGGTACATGATGAGAGGCTGAGGCCATTGCAAGGAGCGCGGTAACAGACGATCAGTCTAAACACAATAGAGATGTTATGCCCTCATTCCTCTGGATCCCGTAAGTATGTAACGAGTCTGCCGTGTTCTTAACTAGAATCTATTGGTGTCAATGTCTTTCTCGTTGTTGTTCGAGAAAAAGTGGAATGTTCTATACTCGCTTTGAAAATGTTTTCGAAAGAATATGAGTGTGTACAGTGTGCCCCCACGTTACGAGTGTTCAGGTTATGGAATTTCGCCCTTGCGTGCCTAAGCCCGTGGCTTAATTGTAGAATATTTTTTAGCGATGACTCTTCCAGCCCATTTAGGGCCTAGGCCTCTTATTCAGTTCCGTAGAATTTTTCACAGACGGTAGACTTTTTGGGCGCGTGATCAGCTCGTCACAAGGCCGCTACCTATACACACACAGACATCCATGCCTTGAGTTGGATTCGAACCGACGACTCCAGCGTCAGAGCAAGCGAAGACAGTTCATGCCTTAGACCGCGCGGCTACTGTGACAGGTTAATACTGTACAATACAGAACTACAATAACATTAAGAAACTGTCTTTGGGATTAAAAATAGCCAAAACTGCCCCTGTGCTTAATAAATTAAGCATTACACCATGAAGACGTATCAGGGAATGGAGGTTTAACTCCACCAGTCTTGACCTCGGCACTAGATAAAGGTGAATGACTAGCCTGGCACCCTGACCGCTTTACCCCCATTGGATAGCAGGCTGGGTGGGTCCCAGAGCCGGTCTGGATGACGTGGAGAAGAGAGAAACCTCTTGCCGCTGCCGGGAATCGAACCCCGGCCGTCAAGCTGTAGTCCTATGTGGGATACACGGAAAAATTCTGCCCTGTAATCGGCTAGTATATGGCTGGAAATCATAATGGGCGACTAACGTATACAGGCATCCGTGATGTTCAATTTAACACAAATTTGATTTACAGACATACTTGTATGTCCAAGAATTGGTAATTAATTCTCTGACGGTTTGTGTCAGTGGTTGATTCATTACATAAATATTATATTTGGTATCTTCTACTCTCTAACGTTAGCTGTGCTATGAGTTCACAGTACCACTCTTCAAAATCTCTCCTGGTGCCACATCTCACACTAATCACCCAGTTAGTGCAAGATTAAAGTAACTGTTCATCATCATCATCATCATCATCATCATCACCATCATAAATATTAACAGCTTAAAACAGTGACAATGAATAGAAACCTCAGAAAGAGGAAATATGTGAGATTATTTATTGCCTAAATTAAAAACGAGTGTACAGTCTACAACATATATTATGAAGCAGCGGTTGCAGGCAAGTTAACTTGTGCGGTAACACTGCACACGAGTATTCGTGAGGTGCTTCGTTCGAATTTCGACCGGGGCACCATTTATCCTGACTGAGGATTTCCGTGGGTTTCCACAGTACCTCGATCAGGTCACGACAGCTTTCTTCCAGAGCGTTTCCAGTTCCTCGTTCACCAGTTATCCTACCACTCGACGCTATATGATCTTACATACCGAAAGCGTCATTAAGTAAACCACAAGTAAATGAATAAATAAATAGAGTAATAGCTCCTAACTCATTAATTTTTTTATTTATTTACTTGTAGTTTACTAACCCGGAGCACGCGGTATCGTAGTTGGTTGAGGCACTGTGCTTCAAGTCGGAAGGTCGCGGGTTCGATTTCCGAT